ATATTAAAAATATAAATTAAATGACCATAATTATTCTAGTTTTCTCTCATTTTATCATAAAACTTCATCAATTAAGAACTCACAAGTCTGGTTCTTGATTTGATGTGATGTTTCAAGAGGATCAATATGCATTGTTGTGTCCCTGCAAGCAGAAAGATTGTTTCTCCAACTCCATGATATATAATTGAAGAGAAATACTCATCAATGCATTTGATCTCCAGTTTTAAGAACTGAAGCCTGGCCAACATTGGGATCCAAGTTGCATGATTTTTCTGCAACTTGGAGCCCAGAGGATGGCTGGTCTCTTTCTTCTAGTTCCAAGTATATGCCATTTAACTCCTTGTGATAAAGTTTGAAAGCTCAGGCAGCTCATCTTCAATCAAGAAGGGATAAGGGAAGTTGAAGAAAGGAAGTGAATGTGCACAAGATGGTGGAATCTTTAAATGGCCTCTTGCTCAAAAGATAGGAACAATTAAAGCATGTGTGGATAGTGAGACATTGTTCTTGGGAGCTGGGATCTGTTTCCTGGTAGAAGATGGCAGCTTATTCCATTTGCCCTTGAGATGTCACTGGTTCTGCCACACTCAAATCTCATGATTGTGATAAGCATTGGCTCTAATTAAGTGAACCTGCTAAGGGAATGATCCTTCTTTTTTTTTGGATTAAAGAGATAATAATCCAATCCAAATTAATGCATCCAATTCGGTGGAACCTCTGCAAGGTGGCTCCAATATAATAATCACATTATCTAGAAACGATTAACATGATTGAATGGATCAGATTTCATGACGATTATCGTCAACATCCTGATTTAATCTGGGCCATCGAACCAGATCGGATTCGGCTCGAAGTCCAAATGAACCACATGGCCCGAATTGTCAGCTAGACTCCGGCCCAAATAAATGAGCTCGGCCCATTTATATATGTTGCTGTCGACGTATTTGTGTCTTGGATCGGCGGGCAAAGCCCACACCGTTGTTTCAACACGGTTTTGAAGAGGGGTTCCTCCGCGGGCTCGGGATTGGCGATTGATCTGCTCATTGCAGATCGGAGTTCTCCTCGCCGGAGATGCCTGCACAGAGTCGGATCTCTCTGCAAGGACATGGTATTGTTTCGGACTCGGTCAGATTCTATTGGATTGCTGGTTGTGATAGTTTCTTGATTCTTGATCTCAATTTTGAATTATCTTCTTTGCTTTCCCTCTTCGCTTTCGACGTTGGATTTAATGGAAGGAAACGAGTGACTTGAATGCTGCGCCGTAGATCCGAGACGGTTTCTTCATTGTGAAATCTCCCGCTCCAACTCCCCTTATCTTCTCTTACGTTAGTCTCTTGGTGTTGATGTCGGTGTTCGGTGCTGAGATTCTCTCTGTTCGATCATTTGAGGTCTTTTTTCGAGATTTTTAATAGGAGTTTGTTTAGATCTGAGCTTCACATTTTCTTTCTTAAGGGCGTTTGATAGGATTAATTATTTTTTGTTCGATCTTTTCATGTTTCTTTTCAAGAATTACAAAGAGTTTGTTTAGTTCTATGCTCCTCCTCTACTTTCTTTAGGGCGTTTGATAGAACTAATTTTTTTTGTTTGATCTTTTGAGGTCTCTTTTCGAGATTTACTAATAATTTGTTTTAGATCTGAGCTCCTCCTTTTCTTTCTTTAGACTGTTTGATAGAGCTAATTCCTTTTATTCTATTCCTCGAGGAGGCCTCTTTTCGAGATATTCCAAACGTTTGTTTAGTTCTGAGCCCCTCCTTTTGTGTCTTTAGGGTGTTTGATAGAATCAATTCATTTTGTTTGGTATTTTGATGCCTCTTTTCTAGATTTTCTAAGAGTTTATTTAGTTCTTAGCTTCTCGTTTTCTTTGTTTACGGCGTTTGATAAAACTAATTATATTGATGCTGTCACATTAGTTGTCGGATTTTGATGGCTGCAGTACGCTGCTTTATCTTCCTTTGCAGCCTTACATATCTTTGTTCAGTGGGTTTTCATTCGAAAATCCTTTCTTATCTCTCCAACCACCAGTGCTAAAATTTTGAACTATTATTACCAATGAAAGTGCAAACATTGGTTGAATAAAAATAGAGACATATGAAGGATTCAAACTCTCTAAATCATCAAAGCTTGAGATCCCAAGAAAGAATCCAATATATTTATTAGTTTTAACACCTATGTGAAATTTCTTGACCATTGAGTAAGACCTTCTACTGTCAGTAGCTTTGGAATGGAAAGTGATAAACATGCCAAAGGCCTTCCTTCTTGTGATTAGCATCTTTAAGATGCATGTAACTTTGTGGGCTATATGGTATGGGCATCAAACCCTCTGCATTTTTGGCATTATTTGAAGCAATCAACTTACTGTTTCCACCTTACCTTTAAGCAACATTGTTTAGATAAACCAGGAGCATCTTAGGGCATGTTAACCACAGTAAAGTAGCAGTAAGGGATCTGAATCAGGAACAGGTTGGGTTCAAAGAACCAGGTGGCTGGAGATTAGACTGTGTCTTAAATATTGATAATAGTGGGGCAATATAAACCATTTTTTCTCTTGAAAATATTGTTGTTATGTTGATGCTCTTTATGGGGTCACATGACTGCTACAGGTGGGAGGAGTGTGTAAATACGAAAGGCAGTATGCCAAAGACTCCCTTTCATGAATGACAGTTTAATCCTCCACATAGCTCTATAAAATCTATTATATATATGATTAGATATTCAAGAATAGATAACAATATTATTGATCTTAAAAAGAATAATACACAAATCATCTAACCAAACATTGCACAGATAATGTACGAGATAACCGACCATCGCTCTCGAGGGAGTGTTGGCTCAGCTCTCTGTGGCTCCGGAGGTGGACGAGGGAGGCGTCGAAGAAGAATTGCCATGGCTTTGAGACGCCAGCGACAGCGAGAACAGCCCAGCGAAAGGCCAAGAGACAGGAATCCACAGCCACCTTGCACTCTCTCTGCTGCCGCCATCCCCGCTTCCTTCTCCTCCGGCTTCCGCCGCGTTGCTACCTCCGCCGCCGGCACTCGGAACTTTTGGATCGTCCGCGGGCAGCTGAAACCTGCAAAGAGGGCACGAGCTATGGAGCTCCAGCCATGGCAGTATGCACTCGCCGTGGAACTTGTGCTTGCACGGCATCTCCCGAGCCTCTGCGCCTACTTCCATGTCCTCCAAGCAAACCGGGCAGCTGGTGTTCTCTTCGACCTTCACGGTAGGCATGGCGTCCACTGCTTCTTTCCGAGCTGGTGGTGTTCCGTATCGGTTCGGGTCGTTCTCCGCTAGATGCTGCAGCAGCAGATCCAGGCTGGATCTCGTGCCGAGGAAGTAGTCCTCGAAGAGGGCACCGACGCCGCCATCGCTTATGCCGCCCGGTGTTTGAGGTTGCGTTTGTGTTTGCGGCTGGTTCGCCTGGAGAATTATGGCCTGGGTGATGAAAGGGTTGATGAGGATAACGCGCTCACTCTCGCCCTCGGAATCTGATCGGCCGAGTGCTTGGAGCAGCTGAAGGATGGCGGAGCTACCCTGCGGCCTTTGGGCGGCGGTCTGTGAGTCAAGGTCGCGGTTGGAATGCTCCACGTCGTCTTCGTCCCCTTCGCCTTCTCCATGGGGGCCTCCACGCCGCAAGGAACCACCGCCAAGCAATCCAAGAAAGAAGGGAGTCCACAGAGAGAAGGCTCGGTGGGAGGCGGGATCGAGCGGGGTATCTGCATGCCCTCGCGGCGGATCCATCTCTTCCAGGAATCCACCGTCACAACGCGGGCATTTGATCTCCGCTTCTGTGACTGGATTCACCGTTTGTGTGCACACGTGGCACCAGAATCGTGCAACCAGGGGTTCCTCCATCTCTCTTGCGGTCTCTCTTCTCCTCCCTCTTCTTGAGACTAAACCACGACAAGAAATAACTGCAATGAACACAGAATCGGTGATTGGAAAACTGTTAATTATAAGTTGATACTCTCGGAAGGAAAAAAATGACAACTTTTTCTCTTTTTGCAGGAAGAAGATATCTTTCATTCAGATGTGGTAGATCAAATTCCAGAGGATGAGAACTGCAAGCAGGACGGAAGGCCAAGAGATATACCTAAAATTAGGAACTCTCCAAGCAGCAGTCCCCCCGAATCACATATGAGTTCAGAGGCACTCCTAAAAATCCAATTTTTCTTGCAAATCTAGCAGAAAGAATGGATTATGAAGAATATGCGTATAATTCTTTATCTTGGAGGACGATGCAATTAAAAGCACGGCACGGATTTATACAAGACAGCCAGATGGTGCTAGCAGTAGAAGAATCCAGAATAGCGGAGAACAATGTGACGCTCTCAAAACAATGGATGGTTGGATCGAACACGTAAGCACACTGCACGCGTGGTTACCGTATGCTGCTCGGTCCACATCATGTAACACATGCATCAAAACGGGATCTGCGCTGTGTGGTAGCGTTCTTTGATAATTTATTCAGGCAAGCCCTTTCAACGTGCTAACAGAATATTCCAGGGACGAAATATCAACCAGCCTTCCCCGCGTACCATCTTCCAGAAGTTTGTAGGCTGACTTGGACCGCATCACCCATTACCATCTGAGCACACGGGAACGTTCTTGATACATAGAGCCAGGGACGGCGCCAGCAGTTGTTCATCTAAGCATGCAACTTTAGGATTCACATCGATCTGCTGCCTCTTTCATCGGGCATATATATATACACACACATGTGCAGCCTCTTAAAATAAAGTTTTCCTGGATCACCAATTAGGAAGTTTAGGTACCGAATCATGAAACTTTTGTACTGTCTTTGGGCGTCCCCCTAAACATTAAAATTACAACAAAATTAAAACATATAAATCATGGAATTATTGTACAATGACAAGCATACCCGGGGATCTGCCTCGAAATTGCTCGACAGTGATTAGCAACGACGGAGGAAGGGGGTCGAGTCAGGTAAAAAGAAACGAAAGAGCAGTAGATGCAGCATACATCATTTTCCAATATATACAACAGATGCTTGCATAGGACGTTAATTCCTGGAGAGAAGACGTTAATGCCAGCTATCTCCTCATCTGGGTAAAAAGATCCGATGGAGGTCTTCCAGTTCCAGTGGCACTGCTTCCCCCAAACGCAGAGAAAGCACCCCCCTGATTGCTGCTAAAAGCCCCAAAACCACCTAGAAAGATTGAAATTTAAGCAACAACTTCAATCTCAATTGGCGGTAAAACAAGCACAATGCATTGTATCAAGCAAAATACAACGCATCCAAATCTCACCTGATGTGAAGCCACCCCCAAAACCAGCTGCTCCAAAGCCACCACCTTGAGAACCTGCACCAGCAAAACCACCGCCGCTAGAAGCACTAGCACCAAAGCCCCCTCCAGTACCTCCACCACCAAAACTACCACCACCGCCAGAAGCAACAGCAGCAGCAGAAAAACCGCCTGCACCAAAACCAGTAAATCCACTACTGCTGGAAACAGCAGCAGCAGCAAAACCACCTCCTCGAGAAGCAAGAGCAGCGAAACCCCCTCCTGCAGCAGTTCCAGTAAACCCAGTAGCTGTAGAAAATCCTCCACTTGTAGCCACAGTTGGGAATCCTCCACCAAATCCACCAGCACCTAGCTGTCGCGATTGCCCAAAAGCACCAAGAACTGATCCAAGTGCCTGCTGCCCTGCTCCAATTTGTGATGGCTGTCCAAAGCCACCAAGTCCACTTGTATTACCACCAGAAAATGCACTGGAGTTAACTGACTGTGTTGGTTGTACAGATTGTGCTGTTGGGAGGCTCAATGATGGAGGCCGGAAAAGCTGCCCTGGGGATGCTGTCAACATGACTGGAGAGGTTGAAATGCTTGTGTTGGCAGTAACAAAAGAACCACCAAATGGATTAGGCTTTGGTGTACTTGAAGTAGATTCTGATCCAAGCCCAAATCCACCAAGGGCTCCCAAGTTGAGCATGTTACTTGGATCTGAAGCCTCCTCTTCCATTTCCTCCTCCTGGGATGAGTTAACATCCAGTTCATTATTGTTTACAGTGGCAGTGCCCATGGGAGGTGAAACTACAGATCCCAACCCCGGTTGAGAATTAGATGCAGCAGGAATGATGTTGCCACCAGTTGTAAGAGAACTTGGTTCTCCTCTCATGCTTAATCCGGTCAACCCCACATTTACAGCTTGTGATGTAACTGGTTCAAATTTCGGAGTACCTTGTTGTGGTGAACTTGTCAGTTGTAGAGTTAGCTCAGATCTTGCATTGGCCTCATTTGAAACTGATGGTGAACTTTGTAATGCTGAACTTTCTGAAGGTGACGGAGCAGACGTTGAACTCCAGGACTGTGATAGAGAAGCTGAAGCACTAGAAGACGGAACAAAATACTGAGCAGTAGATGAGGTCGATCCTGATGCTGAAGTCATAGCATGAACTGGCGATGGTCCTCCTAATGTTATGTTCGGTAAGGATGGCATAGCCGATGTAGACGCATTTGATATGGATGAAGGAGTTGATAACGTAAATGTTGAGAATGGAGTAGGCGAACTTGATACTTTGGTGTCTGATGTCAGAGCAGATACAGTTCCACTCGACTGTTTTTTGCCTGTAATTGACTGACTAATATCTGTTCGTACACCAAACATTGTAGAGAAAGAGAGAGCATTACTATTGGTCGACAACGCAGATAAGCTTTCGGGAGAAACAGCAGACTGTTGCATGCTTCCTTGCAATTTCCCAGAAAAACCTTCACCCAGGGTCTTCAAGCTTAGTTGCTTCTCTACTTGTGTTTTCGCCTCTTTTGATATACTCTTCGGAGTTGATGTACCACTCGGAAATTTTATAGAAGTTGCCACAGTGTTAGGTGCCTCCATCTGCACATTAGGCGTCATTTTGGGGAACGAAACAGATTTTACAGATGAATTTGATATGTGAGTCACCACATCACTCCCCGTATTCTCTTTTGCACCACTTGAAGCACTGTTAAACAGAGACGATGTCGGAGACATTGCAACTGATGTCAAAGGAGTACTTTTTCGTATCTCTCTCATAGGATTAGACTTTGACTCTAAGGTTCCAGGTGATAACAGAGATGATGCTGGAGCCATTGCAACTGATGTCTCAGTCATATGGTTCCGAATCTCTTCCGTAGGATGAGATTTTGACACTAAAGGTTGAGGTGAACCAGACCACCTGAAAACAGTACTAGATTGAGATTTAGAGGTCTGTTGGGAGGGTTTCTCTTGGATATCTACAACGAAGACAAGAACAGAACAATGAGATTGTTTTAGGATAAAATCTTCGAGAAATTACAAAGTTTGTCTTACCTTTGCTCACACGGTACACCTCTGGCTGAACCTTACCAGTCAATGACTCCGTCAAGGATGCTGGTTTCTCAGTGGCCTTTTGCTGGATTACAGCAAACGACTCGATCTGAGCATCAAACTGTTTCTTAGCTGTGGTGAAGGGGTTATTGGCACTAACTCTGACATGTTCTTGATGAGCTGTCCTTTTCACGATAGTCTTTGGGGGCTCAAAGCTAGCCCAGTTCTGCACAAAGTTTGTCATTTAATCCTTTCACAATAACAGAACAATGCTCATTCAGCGACAGATTTACAGAATCATGGGAAAACACATTCAGTCTGAGAAGTTGAGAAGCAACAATTACAACAAAAATTGAAAATTGAAAATTAAATGTGAAGTGAGGAAAAGAAATTTCGGGCTGAAACAATAACTGGACATAAACATTAGAACTTCAGCTGAATTTTTGCCATACATTTCAGGGTAGCTTTAAAATCGACTTCCAACTTGAATGGTTTCAATCAAAATAAACTGCTAGCCATGACTGTTTTTCTAGACAACTTGCCTTACATTTCTCTTAGCTTCCAGCATCAAAATCTTGTACACTGCTAGCCATGACCTAAATACTGCAAAATATTAACATTGCACACCTCTAATGCATGTGTGCTATGTAATGCACCACCAAGAGTTTGTCTAGAAGCCACCTCTATTTCCAACTATTTGGTGTCAGCTACAAGCCCCCTTGTCATTTAGCTAACAAGAGCATCTGCTTTAGATAATATAACAGCCATGATGCCCTTTTGATTATTCAAACCAAGGAGATCACTAAGGAACACTATTTACCAGCATGATGGCCAAGCATTACTCGGAATGGACAAAATTTGCTTTCACTTCAGTAAACTAAGTGTTTCTGTGTTTCACTTGTCCACATTACCACCTTGGCTGGCAAGACCATACCCTCAAGCAAGCATCCCATTGAGCAAGACCTTCACCAGTGCCGACAAAGCCAACGTTCCGCAGTGTTGTCTCCAGTGACAATGAACAGGTGACCTCGCTTGTTCTCTCTGGCATTACCAATATTATACCACCTCAACCATCGATCGGTATCAATAACAAACCAAAATTTTAATCCTTAAATTTAGTAAATGTTTATTTCTGGACTTATAGGTATATTATTAAAATATTCTCAGACATTTTAAATTTAACCTCTCTCTAGCTTACTAGAATTGCAATTATTTATCAATTGCATTCCGTTTGAATGACAAGTATTCATCTAGACATCTTATAATAAGCAAGTAAACATTTATTTAAGTCAGAGCCAACAGGATAAGGTTCAGGTATACACCAATTTTACAACATCATGGTGCATGACAAGTCAACAATTCAGGATACCAAAAAAATTAACTGCAGAGTCATGAGAACAGAATTAGTATAATTATCCTGGTACTTCAACAATAAAGGAAAAAAAGAGATTGAAAAGGTGCAAGAATAAAAAATGTAAAAGCAAAACTAAATCAAATGAAGCAGCATCCTTAAATGTACTTTCCACAGACATTTGAAAAATAAAAAAAATGAGAAAAATATAAGGAAGATGCCTACCATTTTATCAGAACATATGAAGTTTCAAATTTAGAGCATGCTAATAACAAAACTACAGATAATTAATCATACATGACTCTTTTACAGCAGACAACAACTACTACAACATTCACTAAATAGAAATGTATACTATAATCTAAGGTATGCAGTTTTGAATAATACCGCTCGTATCGGGTGGTACGTACTGGTCCGTCAGTTGACTGGTACACGGACTGCCCGTCACCGTCGTATCGCCTCGGTGACGTCGCCGAAAAAGGCGACGTCGCCTGGAGAAGGAAATATATCTATATATATATATATATATATATATATATATATATATATATATATATATATATATATATATATATTAAAGGTGATGTCGCCTTTTATAAAAAATATTTTATATATAAAAAAATCTTTATATATATATATATATATATACAGTATACCGCTCGGTATATTGTATCGTACCGTGCCGAGTGAATGTCAAAATACCAGTACGGTACGATATTTCAAACCTTGCTATAATCTCGTAATTGTAGAAACCATAATAGCAAAAAATGTTAATTATGACACTGTAGAACCAACCAGTTTGGGTTGGAATAACATCAAGTATCACAGCTAAAGCTAGAATAAAATAATTAGGGAAAAGAAGAATTGGAAATAGCTTAGCTTGCAACAGAAAGAAAGCACATACCAGGAAGCACATGCAAGGACCAAGAATCATATAGTAGACACATATCAACAATCATATGCAACATAGTTCTTTAATTAGAAATAGATTAAGCACTTACCTTCCCAAAAGAATCTCTCCTCCTCCTCGTAGTTTCTGGCTCAATAGTTGACAAAGCACTTGATGCAGCTCTCCTGGGATACTCCTTACTGGAAAAATCTGTTGAGGAGGTAATTCTCTTTACAGATACTGGGCTCTGAAAAGGACTTCTAACATCTGGAGATTTTAGAGTGATGCCTTCATCAGCAAGACCAATTGATTCAAATAATTCCCTTGCTACGCCAACCCGCTTTGTAGGATTGTTTATATGGAGCAGAGCCATCTGTCTCGATAGAGAATCAGATAGTTTCTCAGCTGCTGCCAACTGTGAGTTTAGTGTGCTGTATACACTATGCAAAGACTGGAGATGCCTGCAGAAAATACAAGATCAACAATAATCCAGAATGTATGGAGTGTCATCTGTGCATGAAAAACATCCCACGCTGTTCCAAGTTCTTTAGCAGCATGCATAATGAAAAATGGGAAAGTTAATAGTCCAACGTTGACTATAAGCAACCAGGCAACAAAAAGATATGCATTTCCTTTGCACAATAATAGAGTAAACTGGATTTTTCTGTGGAATCCTTTAATAACCCATTGGTAGCAAAAAAACCATATGAAACAAAAAATAAAAAGCGATCAATTATCCCTTCTATATCATCAGTGCTCCATGCTGGCTAATTCAATATCATTAGCCATCCTACTATAGGCAAAATAACAAGTAGCTATTGAAAAGTTTTTCCTTGTTGAACTCCAACGAGTATCTACTTTTTCCAAATAAAGTCTTTCTTGAAAATGTAATGTTATGATGAATTTCTCTCATGACAATTCTTGAGAACAAAAAGTAACACTGCCAGAACATCATTACAGTTAATGACCATAAAACCCTTGGGGACTAGTAAATCTCTAACTAAATTTGTGAGGCAACTCATTTCTCATATACATGTTTGTAAAATAGATGTAACAACAAAAATCTATGTTTCTCTTCGTGGTTACTCGTACCTTGATTGCCTCATGTTACCATGAAAAGCCCTCCGACCTGTACTTTTGTCACTCTCACCAAACTTGCTAATCTCAAGAGTATTGAAATATCTCTCCAGTTCTATTAGCTGGTTTGTCAAATCCTGGTTGGTTAAGATGAGAGCACAAACGATGAGAACTATGTTGTAAGGAGAAATATTTTAAGCCTCATATAAAGTTAAGAGACAAACCTGGTACACCTTCCAAATATTTTGCCGCTTCTGTTCAATTTCAGGATTCAGCTTCTGCCGGTTCCATATGTCCCAATAATGCTCTGTTGAAGCTTGTTTAACAATGTCTGCCATGTAAACTTGCCTAGCTGATACTGTAAGAAAGAACAATAAAGTTTAAAAAAGTTCAGCAAATGAAGAATTACATTAAGAAAAAGGTTCATCAAATGAAAAATAACAAAACAGAAATATGGTTCCTCTGGAAGAAAAAAATATAATCACACAATTATCACAAGGCTTCATCTGTCAATACAGAAACATATCAAGAACGTGAAAGACATCTATAATTTAACTTAAGTTAGAACATGACAAGGAAATGAAGGTATTACATGCTGCAAATACACCATGTTTCTTCATCAATATGGTTCAGATTGTCTGCAGTTCAGTAGCATAATACTGAAACCCACATGGAGAGTTCCACAACCCATAAATTCACTTATCAAGACAATGGATTGTTTCTTTAATGTTCCTAGTCAAAATATATCCCCAAGTGAAGTGTGAAAAGGATTTGATTCCTATCTCAAGAACTATGCTGTCCTTATATTGGCACAGCGTCATATTGTGTCATGCTGGTCAGTATCCCAGTATGCCCGAATACCAGTCGGCATAAAGTTAAAAAAAGGTCAACAATTTGCCAATACCATCTGCAAAACAGCTTAGCATTTGCCATTACCTTTTCGGAGCAACACATGCCAACTTGTGCCAACTAGCATAGGAACCCTTGCTCCAATTTTATTAAAAGAGAGCAAGAAAAAAATTATTTGATGAAATTACTCTCCAGTCTTGTTTGGACTCAAGAAGAAACATACCTCTGTATGCAGCTAATGCTATACTCCACATGGTAGCATAAACTGATTTAATACCAAATTAATGATGCTGAAGTTTCTACAGTAGCAAAATAACCATACCCTTTTGATCCTTTTATTCTCTAACAATCATAGGGTGGCACTCAACATCCTGAACCATAAAATTTAACTGGGGTATCTTGAAGTTAAACCAGGGGTCTATCAACCCACCAGGGGTTAAACAATTTTAGTTTACTTCAATGAAAATACTAAGAGTTGCGGCAAAAAAATTTATTAAAATAATTATCATAATGTTCATTAACCAAAATCAGAATATTCAATAGAAGTGTTAGCTAATTTAGCTGGTAAAGACTTTATTAAACAGCCGTAAATTCCATGATTATATTCCGTCTTTGTAATAATAATAATAATAATAATAAATAATAATACCCAATAAATTTAACATTAAGCCATTCATGTGAAGTGCCTGATAAGAACCTCAAGAAAATAAATATGAATCAATTTCTTCTATACAACTGCAAAAGTGAAATTGCATACCTTGAGACATCTTCCTTTGAAGCTCTTGAATCTCCGTAAGTTCTTCCTCCACTTTTCTCTAAAACGTTGAGAAGAAAACCTTTTTAGCATATGTTTAACAACTCCACTAGGTAAAATGAAGAACATGATCACAATATAGGTTCTTCCAAAGAGAGTATAAATTGATACCCTGCACATCCTGAATGTCTGAGAGAGATTTTTCAGGCCGTCCTCAAGTGTCAAAATTGAGTTTTGATGTAAGACAGTGCAAGCATCCTTGAATCCACCTTCCTGTTCTATAAGTGACAACAAAGTATCGAGTTCCTTGGTCATATCTTTTACCTGACCACATAATTATGACAAATCAGGCAGATAACATGGCAAGAACTAAATTTGCAAACATGCCTCAAGATAGGCAAAACAAAAGTCTGTCATGAGACAATTTAAGACAACCAGTTCCACAGACAGTCACGTCTAACCAATGCAAAGGAACTTATCCATGTCATAGATACATGTCCAGAAGTTGGACAGTTCCAATGATAGCAAAACAACCACAGCAGCGAACCCTATGGACAAACATGTTTTGCTTCTTACAACTCTATGTTTCAATATTTCACTCCCCTTTTGTCTTCCTGTTGAATTGACCACTTGCATGCTCATCCAACTCTCGTTTGCATGCAAATATCCATTAAACATTTCTCATAATCAACGAAATATTTGTGCATTTCTGGTTAGAAGCACATGAAATATCTTAGGAAGGAAATGATCAAACGATAACCAAACCAATTGTGTGTTCTTTTTTTCATTTATAACTTCAGCTTGGAAAGTTGAAAACTAAAGAATTGTTAGTTTCATCCATTCTTCAGACAAGCAAAACCAACACATAAATGTAGTAAAATTATTAATCAATCATGTTTATTATACCAACTATTCTTCAATGAATAGCTGGAGCATAGTGTAAAACGTGGTACACAAGTAACCCAAGAATATCCAGCACCATCTGGCATGGAACAAATATTCACTGGAACATCAACCCCTTGGTTCACGATTGCATCAACTTTTTGCACCAGTTACATGTAGTTAATGTTTCTCACGTTTTGTGCAAAGCAATAGGGCTGCAGATTGGCTCGCAAGCTTTGGAAGACAAAATCAGTTTGATTGTACTGGGTCTTCAGATTTCTCTAGTAAGTTGGCTCACATGTTATGCCATGATACTCCATAGCTTTTTTAAAAAATGTAACCAATGGATCATTAGATCCTGAGGCACATTTCTCATCCAAATTCTTTAGAAGGCAGAATTATCAAAATAAATTTGTAAAGAAAGGACACGACAAATAAGAAATATATTATGCTTTAAGATGAAACTTTAGAAGAACTCTAGGACATTATTCAACATAATAAGATGGAGTTCAATTCCAACTTCTAATATAATTATCCAGAAAAGGAAGAACAGTTCAACCTTTCATGTAAATGCAAGTAGCAAAATTAGCAATAAAATTTTCACAAATTTGCTACTAAACTAGTATCACAAATCAGTGAAGACATAATGGTCGAACTGATAATTAACAATAGTGTACATAACGATTATTAAACCTACCCTCAAATCAGTGAAGACATAATGGTTGAACCGATAATTAACAACAGTGTACATAATGATTATTAAACCTACCCTCGAATATTACCTCCAATTACCTAATATGACCACAAAAATCTTCAACAAAAAACCTGTTAGGCAAGAATGAGATGACACACCAAATAAAAACATGATCTTAGATAAAAGATTAACCAGATGATGGCCCTAACTGAAACAAAATGGAAATGCCTGGGACAACTTATCGTCCAGGAACCTCATGCAATCACTTTCCAGTAGTTATCTGGACAAAATATATAAAATTTTGGAAAAACTAAAAAAATTACTTTGACCACAATAAGTAGCCTCGACAACTGTTTACACAGAGGAAAAAATTAAAAGAAAAGAAAAATGCTGGCAAATCTATATTTATTTGCAAGTTAGATTTAAAATGTCAATGAAGAATAAGACAATTAGGAGAAAATCGCAGCCACACATGAGACTTAATTCAATTCATGATATTTATAGCTATTACATCCTAATGTACTTTGGTATCTATGTGTATAATTCCATTATTATAACCTTTACACATTCAACAGAAATAATTTCACAACATCAAATTGCTACTGCTTCAACACTCTGCATCTGGAGAAAATTTCATTGCACCAATGTATAGGACTACAACTTGTTCTACAATAATAATAGTGCACCAAGCTTAGACAACAGATAAGCATTATTTTCTAGTTTTTTTTTTTAAGTCACATTACCATAGAACCTGAAGATGACAATTACTGAGACGAGAGAAGCAGTCAAAATTCATTAAGCATAGGGAAACAGCAAAAATTTAAAAGAAAAAACTAACAAATTGAATAATGCCATAAAAAACAAAAAGATTCCCAAGAGTCGGAAAGACATCTTACATTATAGAACTGCTTCGAGAGTTCTGGTTCAGAGTCCAACATCAGTGATGACTTTGAAGTTCTTAAATCCTCAACCAAAGTCTGTGGCTTAGGAAATAATGATTTGCCTACAATAGAACTTTTTTGCGGCAGAGAAGACCCAGGACTGGCTGCCTCAGTATTTGCAGATTTATTAAAGGAAGTTGTATGTGCTACACTGTGAGTACCTCTATTTGAAGAAAACATCAAGTTTGATGATCCTCCACCAACTCCAGTTAAATTCAAAGATGTACTGCCAGATAGAGGATTAGTTGAAAGGCTCTTTTGAGAGGAAAAGGATGCCTTACTTCCTACTCCTGCCTCTGACTTTCCAAAGGAACCACTCACAGCAGAACTACCAGAAGCGAATGGTGAAACTTTTGCATTGATACCTCCAATGGATTGTAAATCAGATGGAACTCCTCCAATTCTAGTTGGACCAGGAGATACTTCAACCTTATCACCACCTTTTATAATATTTTTTGCATTTGCTTGCATGGTTACAGAAGCATCACTTGATAGATTATGTATCACATGAGGGACATTGACACCCTCTCCTGATGAAGAGACAGTTTCTATCATGCCAGATTTTCTCTGACCAACAGAAGCAGTTACATTTATGGTTGGAGACTCCATGGATAGCTGAGTCATCTTTGCTGTTTGTGGTATGGAAGGCCTAACAACTGAATTATCATTGCTTTCATCCCTCTTTCCAGTATGAATTTTGTCACTTGGAACCTGATGTATATCTTTGTTTCTTGCACTTCTCAATTCTTCACCTGGTTTTTTAACAAGAATGAATAAAATGATTGCTAAAAGGGGATCCTGGTTTCATTGGTTGAATTTTAAGTTGAAACAAAGATTTCTTTTTGTGTCTTCTCTTACCTGTAGGAACAGAAGGAGATTCAGGAATTATCTGTTTTAAATTGTTATTTGATTTTAAACCATCTGTATCATCCTTCAAATTTGAACTGGTTGCCAACTCATTCTCCAATAAAACATCTGTTGGAGGAAGGGAGGACTGAGGAAGATCTGAAGGATCTGAAACCCTAAAATGAGGAGCTAACATCAATACCGAGGCAAGGATCTCATTTAATTTTAAGTCAAGGAAATATCATAAATCACACCCCTACCTCGCCACATGATACATAATAAGCTTTCCCTCACAGGTAAGACAGTATAGCACACAGAGTGGTGAAAGTTCTCTAGATTCTATGCCAACTTGTACTTTAACTTTCTCGAACACGGAAATCTTATCAACACCAAACCCCAATATCAGATTGTCATCACCATTTTCTGAAAGAGAAACAACAAAAATGATACACAAAAGTCAACATGAAAGAGAACTTAAATCAAAGACCTGATACTCTAAGTTCTCTGTGGCCTCCAACTGAACCATAAAATACCTTGTCCTACACTGAATCTTGTTAAACATCTCATAAAGTCATCACATGGACAATTTAAACAGTGGGAAAAAAGAAGCATCACTAGCATGACTAAAACATAAATTACTCTTTCAATAAATGAAAGAAAAATGTCAGCACTTTAATCAGTAAATACTCTTTTATGCAACAAAAAGCAAACTGAAGATTGGTACATATTTGCTAAATTCAATAGCATAATATGATATATTGGCTGACGTCACCAGCACGTCACTGAAAGTCAAACAAGTTTGCAAGATTTCTCATTTTTCTTCTTTTTTTTTCCAACATAGGGTGGTGTCATGGTCATGCTACTACAAACTAGAACCACAACTTTTGAGTTGCAGAAATTGCTTAGATAATTCTCAAAATCATCTGTCTTTCATTAACTACATCTTCAGTATGGTGCATACAATCAAAGGGCCAGCTCAACCCCAAGTAATGGACCTGACCTAATGCTCAAGCAGTAGCTGAAGTACCTAGCCAATGGACCAATTAACAAATTTAGTGCAGAGTTATCTAAAAGAATCCAGATTTCAACATGTGTTGACCCTGTAAGGCATATGGAATTTGCAAATCACAGCTGTAGCAACATATGAGGATGCTATATCATTTTACGTTGGCTAAGCTGATATATGAATATATGTATAGCAAGCAAAGAAAATGTACAATGTTTACATATATCAACATATGACTAGGCAAATATGAATATGCAGCATATGATCACACAATAATGGTAGTCCAGGCAAGCATGACCTAGACACTGTAACTCTGATTCTGCCAGCCTAGGAAGTAGCTTTGCTGTCTTTGGAAACACCTGTAGCTGAATGTACAATCCTTCTAGAACAAATACATTATTGAACTTACATCTTACTAAGGGAACCTTTAATTGCTGCTAAATGAATTGATGAATTCGATATTTGAATTCGAAATAACCAAAATTTGTCTCTTATGATAGTTGAAATTGTCAAAATAAAAAAAAAATTGTGTGAAACCCATTTTTTTACTTCAAAATTCTGCTAGTCTAGTTTTTGTAAGATATGCTATGTGAATCAAGCTACACAAAAAGCTCCTTATTGCTAGATCAAGCTGAAACAATCTCCCACAAAAACAATGTTCCAGAAAAGGTCTTCATGCACTTCAAAGTTAATCACTACTTTCCTTATGATATTGGATCCATTTATTGACACAAACATTAGTAAATTAGGCACTGTTCCAATTGATGGTAAAATAGGAATTTCATATCCTGTTATTTCAGCTTAAAGATCCTGTTATGTCTCCATGAAAGTGCTAACTTAAAACAAACATAATGATGATCAGAAAATGATAATTTTAATTCATATATTTTGCAAAGATCAATTACATCAGATATGATGTATACATCATAATCCAGAAAGTCTTCACTCATTCAAGATAACAAGCATTTGAATTTTAATATCTGAAGAAAAACAGGCAGTGTTACACAAATCACATGTTCTATAAAAAGAAGTACAAGATATGGATGGACTAGGGTGCACGGCAGTAACAACAGGTGAATGTGCAGGTGGAAGCAATAAGCTGGACAGATGCAGATATTTAACTAATGTGTCCTAAGCACATCGAAAAGCATGTGATGGGCTGACCCCGAAGACCGAAATATATGCTAGAGAAGGTTTAATAAGTAATTGGCCGAAACATCACTGTACATCAATTGAAAAGGCCAGTCTGCGCTTAGCATAATGCATGTTGGTATTATTGCACCTTCATAACTCGCTCACTTGAAGAGCTTACTATAAGTATCGAGAACAAGAATATATTTCACAATAGTTACTATTTGTTTCCTCATACAGAAAGATAACAGCAAACAGAAAAATAATGAAATCAAAGTGCTTACAAAACACTAACAAAATTTACTAGATTTCCCACCTTTTAAACAAATTGTAGGTTTATACTTGTCATTTTGAAACTCCAGCAATGACACCTCCCTTTGGTTGTCGTCCATCGAGTATGCCAACAGAAGAACATGCTGATCAATGTTCTTTTTATTTGAAGCAAGAAGAAGCCCCCTGTTAGTAGAAGAAATATATTGTAATCAACATGCAAATCCAACACAGAATTTCAAAAGAGACATGTATACATCAATGCTCTAACAGCCATCATTTTTTACCAAAATTGGCACACAAAAAATGTATAAGCATTTTTTTAATAATATTTTATAATGATGTCATATGCAACAACACCTAAAAGCTGCAAATGGAGATTTTTGGGGAGTTATGAAAAAATAGCTGTACTAAACCTATGGTATATGAACCAAATAAATAAAAAACCATCAACTAATATGATGTTTCATAGTTCTCCTATCAAGGGCTAAGTGGCTAACTCCAATAGATCTTGAAATACTGACATCATAACCAAGATCCTGTTTAGATATTGTGAACAGAAATGACATCGACCTCAAAATGTTGATACATTGCCTTCAAAAATGTAAATATTTAAGGAGTCAAAATGCTTGCTATTAAGGATCACTGTTACGGGTACCGGACCTGTTTGCGTGATCTGGTTGGACTGGTCAGTACTATACCATGTGTCGGTACACTGGTAGATGTCAATGTATCAGAGAGGAAGCAAATAAAGGATAAGAGGAAGGGAAGGTAGAGGAAGAGAAGATGGTGGAGGAAGAAGGAGGAAGAGAAAGGAAGAGGTAGACGAAGGAAGAGGAAGAAGAGAAGAGGCAAAAGGCACGGCAGCAGCAGTGGCGGTGTGTGGCGAGATCATGTAATGTGTCATCGTGTGAGTAGGGCAAAGGGTGTGGCGGCAGTGTGTGGCAAGGTTGCGGAGGAAGAAAAGGGGTGGACCACGAGAGAAACCTAAACCCTAATCCGTTGCTTCCTTTTTATATGGGCAAACTGGACCTCAAGATATAAGGCATGTCAGCCCGGTTTGTTCCAGTTCGAATGAAACGTCATTCATTGCTTGCTATACTACTGCATATGAGAAACAACATCTAATGCAACATAGAACACCAAGATCTTAAACTGGTATTAAGGCCCATTATAACATGAACAATGAGCTTCATTGGATTGAAAATAGACCTGGGACTAACTAGCAAAGCCCTAATAAGACTTCATATCACTGAAGATAAATGAAGACAAAAGGATGTCGAAAACAAAAACACTATTTGATCTCCACATCCAATTCATCTGGCTTTCTCCACAGCATCCCTACGAGTTCCTTGTGCAAGCTCTCACTGCCTCCTCAAATGTGCCAACATCTCCATGTCTAATGAATTGTTTCCTTACCTGCACACACAACACTCTCCCAACTCCACAATCCCTTTTTTGTATGATCACCACCACCACCCTCGTATCCTTATATTGGATCCCTTTAGTGTCCATGATTCATCGGTTTCTCTCAGCTACAAACATCAACTCCCTTCTATTGTTCCACAACCAATAGCCAAAGTGTTCACTTTGCCTCTACTACTAGTTTTCTGTTAACATTAGCTAACAATCCGAACTTGGTTCTCTAACTACCAGTATTTCACTCATATTATATTACAACATATGCCATATCAAAACTAATGGCCCTCTCTCCAGATACCAGTGGACTATCAACATTTTGCAGATCTGGCATCTTGCCTAGCATTGACCTCAGCTTAAAAATCCACATCAGTATCAGAACCCAACCCAAGCGAAGCCTAGGTCTCTTCGAGTCTCACTAGGCCTAAGCATTACTGATATTTCGGGAATCGAAAGGTAATAAGCACTTAATATTCTAATATTTTTTTAGTCAAAAGGGTTACAATTACATGGAATGACAATAAGAAAAATCAAGGGTCACACACAGGATATCTTCTCCATGGGACATCATAGCACATATCACCTTTTTCGATTGGACATTGGCAAGGCAAAAGAGAAGAGGGAGAAGGAGAAGAGGACTGCAGATTCATATGGCTGAGAGGACAGACTATCAAGCAAGCAAACAAGGAGCAGAAAAGAAAAGAAAGATGAAATGGCATTTTAAGCATGAGGAGAAGAGTTTCCTTGTGCCAAGCATAATTCACATGAAAGTTAGACAAAACTAAATAAAATCCACAACAAGGTTGGTAATTGTCCAACCTATAAATTCAATAACAGTACTAGTTCAGTTAAGTTGGTTTCAAATTCAATTGACCTATTTTTTGGTTAATGTTGAGTTATTTTTCTTGCAAAAGGATAGGAAATGTGGCAATCGAGACCATGCATAAATAAATTAGGGAATCCAGAAGACATAAGCAAGATACTTGCAAACTTATCAAAAATCTTCAACCAACGAGCAAAGTATTTGTTCATTGGACTTAGTTGCAAAAGCAGCTATGACAATGACTGAAAAACTAAGCTCAAAATTAGTGTTCTTTTACAAGAATATAAGATATTGCAGTGTTACATGACTAACAAGTGCAAATCAAATACGGACACCAATCTAAGGCTTTGATTAAAGGGGGATATAAAACAAGATACAAGAATATGTGAGAAAAATGTTTTTTGTTATATACAAAGATCATGTTTTGTTGTGAAATAAACAGTACAAGTTCATCAAACTGAGTTGCCAACTGATTATAAAACCTAATTAGAATTTAATTTTTCCCTTTCCATTCATTTTGGTTCCTGAAAGAGAGAAGAGGATGCATGCACAGGATGCTCTAATTGACTGATTGAGAATATAAATAGCTGCATATTATGATCACTGTATGAACAAGATTGCTGTAGGTTTTAAAATGTTATCTGATAAAGAGAAAGTTGGTTAAGCATCTATGATTCTTTAAATTATATCACAACGAAATTTAAGCATTTTGTATAAAGACTTGCTTAATAATAAAATAGGAAATTTTGAAATATGACTTACATATAGCGATCCATGGAACAAGCTCTAAGCATAACACAAAAGTAGGTAACATTAGAACACTTCTACAAATATAATTACCACCATACCAGCGACCCAAATAGCTCAGAAGCAAGTAAGGCCCAGCTCCAGTTGGCAAAATATCATCTAATACACCTTCAAATAGATCAGGGAAGGAAAAGACTACAGGCTTACAGAGATTCTGAAAAAGTAACACACAAGTAAATAATTACCATTATATTAACAATATAATATAAGAACTATATAACCTTAATAATTTATCCACATTAGTAAGACATAATGAAAAGCATTAGAGATAAAACTGTGCAAATGAAAGGTGAGATCAGGTCCTTAGAGATGAAAGACATGAGAACCTGAATGTGCATATCAGTTAGTCGTTGAACCGATAAAAACAGATTACAGTAACTGGCATGGTCTATTTTCAAGTCCTTACTCTTTTACTGGGAAAATTCTATAGTAGGTAATAAAAAAAACATCCCTATGCCTTGTGCAAAGTTCAAGCATAAGCGATTACATATATAGAGCATCAGGAATTCAGATGTACTTGGAAACTATATATAGCATCAAGACTTCTTTTTTACATCTGCCAGCTTTACAACAAATGAAATATATGAATCAAGAAAGTTAAGATGAGGATTTTGTTTATTCACATGTCAAATTGCTTTCCATAGGTGTAATTCAACATGCTCCGGCATTTCAAACCAAGGTTCGCAATTTCGTACCGTACCGAAGTTTCGACGTTCGCTCGGTACGGTACGATACTATATACCAAGTGGTATACTGTTCGGTAAACCGCTCGGTATATATATAAAGGCGACGTCGCATCGCATCGCCTCTGCGACGTCGCCTTTTCCTTCTCCCACGCGAGACAACGTCGCCTCATTTATGTATGTATATATATATATATATATATATGCCCGTATCGGACGGTATTATTCAAAATTGCATACCTTGTTTCAAACTATCAAATTTGTTAGAAACAATAAGCTTAGGTTCCTGAATAATACATTGATGATGCAAATCATGATTTGTCTACTTTCTCAGCTGAAGATGGATATCGACAAAACAATTTCAGAGAATAAACAGAACTTTCAGCTTGGAAAATATAATAGTTAATGGTTGTCTATTTTTCAGAAGGAAATCACTCAACAAATAGAAACAAGTACATAAAAGGCAAAAAAAGTTACCAGTTCTAGATGTGACCACTATTTACAGACATTTCCAACACTGACCTCGGTCAATTTATGCTCCCTGCTTTTGATCACTTGAATTAAGTAACCTTCCTCATTACCATCTTCATTAACTCGAACACATCCAACAACTATACTATCATCACGAACCCATTCAATGGAATCCACTGGTTGATGAAAATTCATTTTCAGCTTTAGAAGCATACAACTAATCTAAAGTAACTTCAATTGGCACTTGACTATTTAAAGGCACAAAAAATAAAAAGTCACAAAAATATGGAACAAAAGACAATGAATTAACATAAATATGAAAATAACCAACAAGGATCATGACAATAACCAACAAGGATCATGACAATAACCAACAAGGATCATGACAAGATACAAATAGGCACCTGACTATTGTCAGAGGAAGCAGAAACATGTGGGAAAAAAAATATGTTTTAACGCCAAGGTTCCAAAAAAAAGCAGAATCAGTATACAAGCAGTTGGGTCACCACATAGTGCATATGCTGCATGTAGATGCACACAAGGATGTATGTGGGCTTTATGTAGATTTAACCCAAGCTATTTGCAAGAGATATTTAAACCATTTAACTAGTATGCTGAATCTCTTAAGGTTTGAAAGTTTCAGATTATCAGATAGAATAAAAGACATAGAAAAAGGCATAATGTGAAAAGAAATGGAATATAAGAAGGCAGAACTTACTGGTTCAGCCATAAAGAAATCATCAGACACCAACCAACCAACCATTTTCAACAAATTATGCACCTTATCTAGATCATATCACCTTTTTAATTATCACCCCAGTACACACTACTAAGAAATAAGACCAAACTAAAACAAAAGCAGACACAACACACTGTAATACGACTTGATCAAGACATAAATCGACTCAAGTTTCTCTCAAGGCTATACTAGTATTTTGGAAATATGAAGAGTTCACTGATAAAGACAATATGATTGATTGTTTAAATCAAGATCCTAAGGATTATACATCTGAATATAGGACATTTAAAGCGTAGCAACTACTGCAACTAAAATACGTTCTGCTGATCCTACTACAAGGATGTATACATATTTTTTAACTGCATATTAACTCTACCAAAAGTAGAAACTGAATGCACTGTATTCTAGAACTGAAATCATGACAAAGCAAATGACAAAAGAAGCATACCTTTTATGAAAATTTCAGATTCAGTATCATTAGACCATGACTGGAACGACAGGGTGATGCAAATTTGTTCTTTGAAATCAGATGAAAAGATTCTTATATCACTCTTCCTAGCAACAGCAATATAGTCACCCTCCATGCTCCAATCAACTACAGATGCATCCACAAAACAGATTACACCAACACAGGACAAAATCTAAAAGAATCATTGTATCATAGATCATAAAAGTAGGCCATTTCACAAATAAAAGGCAGTGTATAAACAAAAAGTCATCTATCTAACACAATGAGACACAATAAAAAAAGAAAGACTATACAGATTATAGAAACAATTTTCAATTTCAAAAAGAATGTAAAAGTTAACATAAAGTGGAATCATCCAAATAAACGAAGACGCATTGAAGGGGGAAGAGAACCAAATCAACTCAAGCCCTGGTGATCATTAAGTGGCCGGAGAATCAAAACTGGAGGTAGTAAATTAGCTAATAGCAAGAAAGATTAAAGAAAGATTGAAGCAACTGCAGAGGCATCAGAGGCAAAGTATGAGAAGTGAAGCATCAAAGGGGGAAGAGAGACTAATCAACTCAGACCTGATGGCTGATAAACGGCTGGAGAATTATAACTAGAGGTAATAAAATTAGGTAATTGCAAGAAAGATTGAGACAGCTGCAAACACATCAGAGGTGAAAATGAGAAGTGTCAAATGTTTGACGGATTTCAATATATCCAATGAAAGTTCTTTTTTAAAGTGGGACCGGAAACTTGGCATCATAATATTAACAAAGCTTTTCATAAAGAGGAAAACAAACCAGCATCAACATTTTCCATTACATCCTTGATGGAATCCTTCACACGTCCATGGCATAGTAGGCCATCACTTGAAAGAACAACGAAAGACTTTTGAGAATTCTTTTGCCACCTTATGTCTTTTACAATGCCAGAATTCTTCAGTGCATTTGAAAAGGATGGTTTACACTCCTACAACACCATTGCACAAGCATTAAATAACAAAACTGATCAGTAACAGCATATCATGTAGCAATACAAATGGTATAAAAACAATACGGAATAAATGCACCACATTAGAAAAACCTGAATATTCACTGTTATAAACTTCAAGAAAGTTAAATCATTAGAACATTTTTCACAATGAACAACATCTACAGCAGTGTAAGCATTAGCAAATACCATGTCATGAACTGTCATGCAATTCAATTCAGCAAAAAACTTATAGAACAATTAACAAACAATCTAGAACAGCTAACTACAAACGGAGGGAGAGACAAACACAGTAGATGTCAGATTGCCTATAAGCTTCCATTAATCTCATTAACAAGAATGATAAGTATTGTGCAACAAACAGCTCATTAAGAATGTCATCACAAGTTACTGAAGATCAAAAGCCAAAAACATTCCAATTTTCTGAATTTGATATATGCTTGTTGACATTCTAGCTCAGTGAACAAGTACATAACCTACAACAAGATTTAGTAGGATTCTTCAGTAGATCTCCAAGAACTATCTGACTTACAATCTCTTACAAATCATCTCCTCCAATTAAGGAATAAGAAGACACATATTTTTGATATAAATTGTTCTATAAATAATTGTTCTAGTATTAAAAAGAATCAAAGGTAATTCCAGATAAATCAATTCCTAAATGAATTTGCTAGTTGAGAGTCTTGAGACTCAATCACAATACATTACACATCACTTTTGTCAGTTATTCAAGACTTTTGTATTATTATGTCAATACCACAAACTTAGAAGTTAGAAACACACTCCAAAGGACTAGAATGCCAACTACAGTAAATAACCCATTGTTTTACAAATGATCCTCGAGAAAATTTAAAGAGTATAGCATATTTTCTCATACCAACCCCCTTTTACAGAAAGAAATTGTGGTGCTGGATCTCCATTTTTCAATTTCACAAATGAGATAAAACAACCTTGCAGTCTGTTTACGTAACATTACTATTGTCAGACCCTTAAGAAGATTCCTCTCCATTTCCCTATTATCCGCACTGCCCTACTTGAAGTTGGGCCTCTTCCAAACTTCCTACTCATGTGAGATACTCTCCAAAACATAATTTAATAAGAACCGTTCATAGCTTATGAAAAGTGGATATCATAGCAACGATGAACCACAGAGTCAGGTATCCCCACAAAAGAATGGTCCTGGATAAATGATCCAAAAATGAACCATAGTCCTACCAGGATGTGGCCCTAGTCCCAGTCATGGAAAGGCTTTCATATTGGATTATCTCAATGGACTACTGACCCATTAGCTTGGTGGGTTTGGAACCATATGACCCACAATGTGTAAGGTCAAGAAATGTTGTAAGTCTTATTTAGCCTTATATGTCATCCTCACAGTTCCCAGTGGTACTAATCAGGGCACAGGGCACATGAAGTAAAAGAATAATTAAGATATTTAAATATTAAGCTTAAGCATTCTCAGCCACATGGTTTCAGAGCTATCAAGTCAATGGGCCAATAGTTCATAAGTCCGGATCTCGAAGACCAATCCTGATAATATTAGAAAAGAAAGCATCTGCGTTCTAACCTTATGATTAATGAGAGACGGCACGTAAAAAAAGTGAATTTCACCGCCAACAGCAGCAGCGAGCACCGTGGAGTCATTGGAGAGCGCAAGAAGAGACACCCTACCAATCTTTACATCCACAACGCTTGTGTTCTGAATGCAAGGGGTCTTTCCCTTCTCCTTAATCTCCTTCCCCAAACCAATGACATCCTTCGTCTTCGCCACCAGAAACCCTGAAAAAGAACCACAATCCATCACGACCTAAACTAAGAAACAAAATCCGGAACCCAAAAAGAAGCACGAAGGCACCTTCGGAATGTGCTAAAAAAATGGCCCCAAAGCGCTCGGAGATGGCGAGAGGTCGAGCCGGCGGGGCCTGGAGATCGAACTCGGAATCGGCAGGCTTCAGGGAAACGGGCTCGCCGAGGCGGCAGAATACGAAGTCGGCGGTGGCTCCGTGATCGCCTTCGATCTCCTCCTCGAGGCGGATGAGACGAGGCGACGCCTCGGCCATCGGTGGCGGTCAAATCTTGGACACACAGAAAGGGGGAAGCGAGAGCGGACAGGTGCGATGGCTTCAGGGCATTCTTGCAAACCAAGGAAGAGGGAGAATGAGAACCCTAAAAGCCCTAAGCGGGCGGAAGCGGAGGGAGAAAGATGGCTTAAGAACGCAGCAGATTTGAACACCAAATGGGAACCAATCACGTGCTTTGCACTCGGGTCACTGAATTAATGGGCTGGGCCCTAATCATCTTGGTTTTGCGTTTCGAGGATGAAAGCGGATCGGATCCGTTCAAGTACCTATATATGTGATTTATTAATCGAATTTGATAATATATGGAATTTGCATATTTCCTATATGTCTTCGTTTCTATTTAGAGATATAGGGTGCGTTTGGTAATTTTCTTAAAAATTATATTTAGTTTAAATATTTTATATAAAAGTGATACATATATATATATATATACATAATATAATATAAAAGCAAAAATATTTTATCAATTATTTGAATTATTTGTGAGTTTCCCACATGAATCGAATGACTTCGAATCATTCTCGATAAAGAAATCAAGCCAAGATTAACCTGAAATATTTAAAAGATTTGTTAAATTAATGACTATTTCTATGCCATAAAACATTATTAAAAATATAATCAACACGTCACGGGAAATTAATTTTGTTAATATTAGAAAATAATATTTTATTCGATTAGATTTTTTTCTGAAACGTGGATTAAGAATCACTGATATAAGTAGTTATATTTACACATTTAATTGGTTTGTTTTTTAATATTTAAATTATATTATTTATCTTGTTTACATAAGATATTGGAAATATAATACAGTTTAGAAGTACAACAAGATCAAGGGTGATTTTTGATGTGATTTGATCGGACCTGTACTCTTAACTATGTTATTAAAGCTATGATTTGATGAATATATATCTATCACAATGTAGTCCTCAGCCACTTAGTCAAACAACGACTAAAAAGCTCGCAAATTTACTAATGAATTTATGATGATGATGATGATGATGATGATGATATATATGCATTTTTTTAACATGGTTGGTGAGTTGATAATGAGATGTATTTTGACTATGTGGATTGCGTTGACTTTGTGTATACGTAGGAGTACCACCTATACATGATGACTTCTCTGTTGTTTGCCTTGTCATTAAGCATATAGGAGATGAGAGACATGAAATGGACTGCTCTTATTCAGTGCAAATACATTACAGTATGATTAATAATGCTTCACAGCACCATAAAATCTCCTAATGACAAGCATCATCACCATCATTAGACTGAAGCCTTGGTAGCTGAGATTGCATGTTTCCTGGCTTGGAAGAAAGCTAGCAAGTTTGCTCTCTTAGGCAAGCATTCCATCACAGCATCAGACTTGAGAAACTCTTCAGTCCATTTGCACAAATTGGGATACTTCTCTTCGTCGAGCAAGCTTATGCCTGCCACTTCTTCAAGCACGCCCAGCCAATGAGCAATGAAACTGGCAGCAATGTCAACCATCCCTATGGAATCACCTCCAAAAAACTTCTTCCCTTTGAGCTCTTCCTCCAGAAGATGGAGGCATTCTTTTGCTTGTTCCATGAAGTTCTGCTGTGTTTCTCCTTCTGTCCAGCATGACATCCACAGTGCAAGTGAGCACTGCACACAAAGGAGCAATCAGAAGTTTAGTCTCACCTATAAACTCACTCATCCAATAACTACAAGAAACAAAAACGAAACCCATAAAGATAGATTCAGCTGATGCTTGTGTTCCTAATAAAGCAGGAAGACATAAGCAGACGTATCTCCGAGACCTTATCATCAAGGAACCTGGACCAGAACCTGGCCACGGCCCTCTCGCGAGGATCCTTGGGGAGGATGGGGTTCTCTTGCCATGTCTCTTCGATGTACTCTAGGATGACGAGAGACTCAGCGATGGGCTTGCCATGGTGGAGGAGGACAGGGACCTTCTTATGGACTGGGTTGTACTCAAGGAGCAGAGTGCTCTTGTTGGAGAGATCCTCCTCTATATACTCATAAGCTACTCCCTTCAGCCTCAGAGCAAGCTCCACTCTGTAGCTGAAGGGGCTTCCCCATGACCTGAACACCTTCACTTCCTCGGCCATTCTGCTTGCTGCTCTTCCTGCTCAACATTACTCTGGTATTCGTATATATAGAGCACACTGAAATGATGTTATTGCTGGGGTGGGGTGGGTGGGTGGGGCGTAAAGCTTCCTCCGGTTTCTTTCTTACAGTGGAAGCTTTCTCGAGATACTTCCATGGCAAGGTTTGACTAGTATGCTGTAGAGAACAGTTCAACAAGCATGGCTACGCTGAAAGCCAAAGCTGGAGGAGTATGGTAAATGTGACAGGCGAAGCAAATCTAATGCTGTGTTCGTTCATTGATCAGTGAAGGGTGAAGAAACACAAAATTTAGTCAACCATCAAGTACAGTGTTGATGGAGACATGAGTTGACTTGAGATCCATGGTACTTTTCAAACATTACCTTACCTCGTCTTACAAGAAAATGTATGACACACACTAAATGATGTCTCAGAGAAGTAAGACTTTTGGGTCTTACATCTTTCAATCTACCTACAGTCCATCAATTTTCTCAGCACTTGGATGTCTCACATCTGTGTATAGGATTTGATGCATGTTGCTTTATTGATATTGACTGTCAGCTTGATCTAAATGACAAGCTTGAAGGTTGTGGCCCAAAGAAACACAATGATTCAGGTGCCAATTACTGATGAAGGCAATATTCATAGAATAAAAGCAGAACAGTAAAAATCGGAGGACAATGTGATTTTTACTCAGGAACGCTGCAGTTGTCAGACTTGACATTTGATGCAAAGGGAGCGGAAGACACATGAGCAATCAGCTTCCTGTTCTTCTTGGTTCCCTGCGATTTGATCCTTTTCTTTCCTCTGTAGTTTGTCCTCTATGTGAGCTTGTCTTTGAGTCCAGTGCTTCTCTATCTATGCCGTAGAATGCAACCATCAAACTGTCATCTCCTTGATTACAGTCGCCACCAGAGACCAGATGGATCAGAGAGCGAGCGAGAGAGAGAGAGAGAGAGAGTCCACCTCACATCCTTGGTAGTTGGGGTCTCCTACTCCAAAGACACCAGCTGTGTTGGAAAGCCTGGAAATTCGTTGGTTTCATGTACTTAATGGTTCTGAAAATGCAAGTTTCAGAGCCTTCATTTCTCCTCTTCCTGTGCTTCCTCAGATTCGGTGGTCAGAGGCCCACTGACGTACCAGATATAGAATAACAATGGTTTAACCCAGAAAAAGATGCAGATATACAGGTTGAGTTCAAGGAAGCATGAAGCATATATAGAACTGAGTGATTCATTGACATGATTGCATGCAGAAGCTGCTCCTTATTTAATTTACGCTTGCAACGAGAGACCATATTTACTGTAGTGCTTATTTCGGACAGTTTTCACGTTGAATGATGAGAGTCGAAGGTTGCAGTGAGTCACTGGACGTGCTCCTCGCTAGCTTTTGTCGTCGGCAACCTTGGGGGTGTCATCAGGAAAGCATGGCAGACCAAGAGAGACAATTAGCAGGGAGCTCCAGGAACCCATCTGTCTGCCCCAACGCCTCGTCGAAGAGCCACTTCTCCAACGAGGACAAGGGGGGTTGGCTGTTCTCCGCATCCTGCTTCGCCTCGGCATTCGCTTGTGCGAGCTGTGGCCCATGGATCTTTCCCCAGGAGATCATGCCGCTTGTGTTCTCGAAGGAAAGAAGCGAGTCCAGGTCTTCATGCGCCGCGGCTAAGCAGCCCACTTGGTTACGTTCAGCTTGTTTGTTCTCTTTGGGTGATGCTGCCGTGATGGTATTGCTGCTACTGCTGCTGCTGCTGTTGTTGTTGTCGGTAATGGCGAACTCTTTCTTCTTCGCTGCGGCCTTCGGGGAGGATCGCACCCAACCTTCAAGAAGCCTTGAGATGTTCTCAGTGCTGGAGGCGTAGATGGAGGGTGTCTGGGAGAACCTGGACAGTGGGAACTTCATCTCTTGCTTCACTGCTTCCGTGTTGCATCCTTTGGACATGTAGTCATGGCAGACCGGGCTTGTATCAGGAGAGATCACGTAGCTACCTGCAGTATCTATCATCTTCTTCTTCAGGTGCGTGTTCCAGTAGTTCTTGATATCGTTGTCTGTTCTTTGGGGAAGGTAAGAAGCTATGGCTGCCCATCTAAGTTCGAGGAAGAGGAATTCAGACAAACCAAAGAAATGTGGAAGAATAATCAACAATATTCCTTTTGATTCCTCTTCTTGAGTCGATAATTAACCTTTGACCTCGATCCGAAGGAATTCAAGAAGATTGATTACCTGTTGCCAAGCAAGGCTTGCAGATGGATTATGATTCCTTCTTCGTGCGGAGTGAAGTTGCCATGCTTGATTCCAGGCCTGAGGTAGTTTATCCATCTCAGTCTACAGCTCTTGCTGCATCTCATCAAGCCTGCAGTTTTCAGGAACAGTCAAAGACATATGTAGAATAATAATGTTCGACCTTCTGAGGAAGAGAGAAGACAGAGTCTCCATGATGCTAGCAAAAGAACCACTAAAATCAAACAATTCGGTGTATATGATGGTTGAACTTGCCATGGTTTGGACGTTCCAACTCATGAGAACAAACCAAGACAAGAAGCCAGAGAAGCTGAGAAAGCATTACCAGTGTTTGTGGGAACTGATCTCCAGTTTCCAGGCCCATGCTCCTGGATATAAGAGACCAAGATGATGTCCTCTTCAGGAGTCCATGGTCCTTTCTTGATGCCAACCCTGTCACAGCATGGAGGCCTTCCCATTGCTGCCTTGGTCACTGCCTGCCTCAAAGCCCTCCCCTTCCCTCTCTCTCACTTCCTCACTCTCATCTTCCAGCTCCCTGCTTTCCTTTTCCCTGGCTTCCTTTTCCTCTGTCCCCTGCAGGTGTCTCATGAGCATGTGAGTCTCCTTTTCAACCATTTATCATCCCACCCATCTGACTCATCCCCATGCCCATTTCTTCTTTGCCTTTTACAAAAGTCAAACCTCTACTTCCCCTCCTTTCTCTTTTGCTCCTCACGTGAATCACCATCACTGACCATTGAGCAACTCTACAGACTGCCTCCACACACTGCAGAAGATAAGAAAAGCACACATACAATAATGTTTTTGCATTTGGGAATAAAGACGTAAACCGAAGACATGCAAACCGAGTTTGAGTTTACATTACCGATGAAGCTTCTTTCTTTTTGTGTTTCAAGATGTTTAAACGGCCATGTTTCTTCCTCCTTTCATTAACATCTTCTTCTTCATCCTTTCTTTTCAATGAACGCCTTGTAACAGTTGTCGTCCTCCAGCTCTTGTGGACTACAAAACGCAGCGTGTCCGGACCAGGACATGGTGATGGTGCTCAACCAAATTAAATGCAGCTGGTTCTCGGTTGCAGTCGGAACCGAACTTTAATGAGTGCACGTGGTTTCATCTCGACCAAAATCCGACTCAAGATCTGAATCGCATACTTGTATTGATCATGCCAATTAGATGGATTTTCCAATTGGGTTCAGATCGAGAAATTTTGACATTCGATTCACCTATTACGTGGATTTAGAGTCGAATTATGAGTCAGATCGGCTGTGGGTTAGAGTTGCAGTAACTTTCAATTGGGCTCGACTTGAGTTGGACACTGTAGTGCATTTATGAAGAGAAGACATGCATATATATATATATATATATATAATTAAAATTAAGCTCAAAAGTTTGAGTATAATATAAGGAGTATAAAAACATAACCTGAGGTGCATGTATAATTTATTCGGTGCGGTAGATCCGGCCCATTCAATTGAACCCGCATAATACGAGTCAATTTGCTTTGATGGGTCTAATGAAGCTATTATGTCTCGGCCCAATGTGATCTATTTGGGACTTAGAAGCATTAATTTGGCCCATTACCCGACCCAATCCAATCCCATCGCAAGGGGAAGACGAGGAAAAGGAGAGCGCACACACCCACCGAAGTCGCCGCCTTCAATCCTCGCCTTCTCTCTGTTCCTTTCTTCCTCCGGATCGTGATCGATCCCCGTCACTTCTCTTCCCCTGAGGGCCTGATCTCTCATTGTCGCCGCCGTTCGCCGCCCGTCGGACGGCCGGCGATGCAGCGCAGCGTATTGGACTCCCTCGGGGTCGAGATCATCGGGGTCATCTCCCCCGTCTCTATATGCATGCTCCTCGTCGTCCTTCTCGTCTCCACCCTCTCCCCCTCCGCTTCCGACTCCGCCGCTGCTGCCGCCTCCGCTACCACCGCTGCCACCCTCGTCTATGACGAGTCCCCTTCCGACCCTCCCGGCCGGCGGCTCGCCGGTGCTCTCCTCAACGCTGCCGCCTTCGTCGCCCTTATCACCGCCGCTACGACCCTCCTCGTCGTCCTCTACTACTACCGCTTCACCGGCTTCCTCCGGAACTACGTCCGCTTCTCCGCCTTCTTCGTCCTCGCCTCCATGGGCGGCTCCATCCTCCTCTCCCTCCTCCGTGCCGCCGCTTTCCCCCTCGATGCCGTCTCCGCACTTGTCCTCCTCCTCAACCTCTCCGCCGTTGGCGTCCCCGCCGTGCTCTCCCCTGCCGTGCCCGTTCTCCTCCGCCAGGCCTACCTCGTCGCCCTCGCCGTCATCGTTGCCGCCTGGTTCGCTCGCCTCCCAGAGTGGACCACCTGGACCCTCCTCATCGCCCTCGCCCTTTACGACCTCGCCGCCGTCCTCTGCCCCCGCGGCCCCCTTCGTGTCCTCGTCGAGCTCGCCTCCTCCCGCGACGAGGAGCTTCCTGCCCTCGTCTACGAGTCCCGCCCCGCATCCGCCTCTGTCTCCCACGCCGTCGCCGCCCTTGGCTCCGTCGAGCTCCAGCCCGTGGAGCCCGCGCCCCCAAATCCCACCTTGTCCAACCGAAACGTGGATCCGGATCGCACCATTGTGGAGATCGAGAGTCTCGAGGAGGAGACCTCGCCTCTCGTGCCGAACGAGCCATCCAGCAGCGGCAGCGGCGACGCACGGCAACAAGACATTGCTGCCGAGAGGGAAAGGGAGAGGGAGGGAGAGAGGAATCAAGATCCTTCCTCCTCCTCTTCGTTGCCGGGGCTTGCCTTCGAGAGTGATGCCTTCGATACATCGAGGGGGATCAGACTTGGCCTCGGGGATTTCGTGTTCTACAGCGTGCTCGTAGGAAGAGCAGCAATGTATGATTTAATGACGGTTTATGCTTGCTATCTTGCGATTATTTCAGGGCTCGGATGCACATTGATTCTGCTCTCCATATGCCGGCATGCACTTCCTGCGTTGCCCATCTCCATCACATTGGGCGTGGGGTTCTACTTCTTGACACGGTTGCTATTGGAGCCATTTGTCGTTGGAGCATCAACGAGCCTGGTGATGTTCTGACTGACCGCACTTGCTTGATTTGTTCCTTCTTCTCATAGTAGATATATGTAAGGCTTGATTGTTCAAGGATACTGATATATCATAGATGACTAAGTTTTTTCTTTTCCGATACCATATTTTTGCCCCTTGTTGATCTCTTGTATTGCTAGTAATTTTAGTATGAATTGAATAACTTTGTCACTAGGAAACTCCCTAATTCATAACAGGCTAATTGAAAGTAATGCTTTTTGGATTGCTTGAGATATATCTTGTTGCACTCTTCATTTTGATATTGTGAATTAACTGATATCAACGATGTTCGGCACCACTATTTACAAGCCTATTTTTCGTCATCATTTGTATTGCTAACATATCAAGCTACAATGCATAATTTAGGATTTGCCAGGTGCCAACTTATGATGAATAGAAAAATTGGTGAGAAGTTTGAGACCGTTAAATATAACTAAGTACTCATGTGTCATTGAAATCATTTGTCAGTCAAATATAATTAAGTACTCATGTGTCATTGAAATCATTTGTCATTGTATCATTCTTGCTATGATCAATTTAGCTACTCAACCAGTTTGTACCTTGAGGGACATGTATAACCTCATCACAGGTAAATCATGGTTATTGCAAGAAGCTTTTGTTGGTCAAATATTAGGTTTTATTTTTCAGGAAATGGTGTTTTTCTATCGACGCTAGTTCACATTCTTGATTATCATCAAATTATTGAACTATATATTACATCCAAAAATGTTGTGAATGTCTTTCAATACTTTGGCATGTGTGTACTTTGAGATTGGGACAATATGGTCAAAAGTTTCAAACCCATTTATCATCAGCTCTGGTGTGCACTATATCTGCTTATAACCAAGAAGGGGCAGGTTTTGGAAAGTGTCAGATGTATGGAACATTGATCCTGCATATGAGAGGTGGTTTCTGCCGTCCGAATTGCTGAATGTGATTGAGTCAAATTCCATAGCATTTTTTTTCGTCTTATATTGATAATTGAGACATTTCTTAGGAATGAGTTGAAGTTGTGCCTTCTGGTTGTTGCAAGTTTTTTAGCTTTGTAATGTGTCTCTCCTCATCTTTGCTAAATTTTGCTATATTTTATGCTGATCATAGGATAGAACAGTCCTGATATTTGGGCAGACTGAATCACATCACAAAAGCATTAGGGTTGATTTGGTCAAACATCAGGCCATTGGAGACCACATTGTGTTAGAAACTTTTCAGGGTTGATTCAATCTTCTTAAACATCGTTTTCCAGGATAAAATGATGTAATATCACTAGACTTGTCTATCCATGATAGGTAGGATATGAAAAATAGCCATTACACTACACAAATATGGTTAAAAATTAAAAAAAAAAAAGACATGGATGTGTTTATGGGTACTGAGGCGGCAAAAATGTGCTGTATTCGGCTTTATTTTTGTGCTGGTGATTTTAGCGTATAGTCATTCTGGTGATTTTAGCATATATATATATATATATATATATATATATATATATATATATATATATATATATATATATATTCTATGCTTCTTTCCATCTTTAATGTTATAAGAATGTCAGGTACTTTAATTTCTTATTCTTCGTTTCTATGTTCTTGTACATATTACATTGCCTTCTTTTCTCCCACTGTTTGTTTTCTTATTCTTCCTTTCTATGTACCTGTACATATTACTTTTTCTTCTTTTTTTCCCCATTGCAGCATGCTTTACCACATTGATGTTTATAACACAGATTTTGTGAATGGTCGCTTTGCTGTTTTCTTTTAAATATTCATACTGAGATCAAGATCTCGCAGATGGAGATATTATAGGGTTTTATGTGACTGCTATGTTGAGTTTTCCGTTGTAATGAGTCAAGTGATCAAGGTTGGTGTCCAAGAAATATGTGTATTCAAGAAGAACGAGTTAAAGCAGTTTTGAATGCTAACATGGAATTGTGCTCAGACATTGTGAGAAGTCTGTGAGATATATCTCGTCACAAAGTATGCAGCTGCTAGAAAATATATTGGATGGTTTGTGTAATATGGTGGTGTCATTTATGTGTTGCTGCTTCCTTCGATTTGTCATCATCAGTGCAATCATTTGATGCTTCCCCACAGAGAACATGTACAGATTTGAAACTGAGCTACGTTCGTATTTTTCTTCTTCTTGAAAAAAGAATACGATACGATGATACTTCATCAATAATTACCATCTTTCGTTCATTTTTCATTTTCATGCGATCAAGCTGCTATTTACTTTCTGGTCATTTAACGAATCTTATAGGATGGGGCTAATTACATAAGTCAGATCTCCTTAACATTTTTGGTTGGTAGACTCCAAAACAATAAGCATGAAAATAATAAGGAAAAAAGGAATTTTAATATTTCAGTCAGTGATAACGAATAATGTCATTGGTGGCGGACGATAGTATCGTTGAGAGTTGCGAGTGCATGTTGTGGATAAGGAGAGTAGCGACGATGTGTGAGGGTTGCTCTATATTTGCGTCGATGCAGACACAATTGTCGAGCGATTTGCGTTGACATAGTTGCCAAATAATCCTTTCGTCGATTTATATTTGCATCGGTGTCGGCACAATTGTCAAGCGACGAAAGGGCCAGTCGACATCTGTATCGATGTCAACGTAGATGCAGAGTGGCGAAAGGGTCACTCGACATTGACGCAAATGTAGGGTGACCCTCACCTCTCACCACTGCTCTCCTCATCCACAACAGCTGCTTGAAGCCCCCCAACTATCACGAATAAAGTTATAAACGAGGTATTTGATGTAATGTTCATGTATGTCCGTACCTTTCGGTTTTGTTAATGCTTTGCATAGCATGTAAAGGGCTGATCGTAGGTTTGGCAGCCCCATTTTGGTTGGCTTTGGTGGTCATTTTAGACTTGTAAACGAATGTTGTCATGTGGGCACTTGTGGGGATTTCGATCTGTAGTAGACCATCTTGAACTCTTTGTTGTGCGACCATTCAAAGCTTGCGAAGTTATGTTTGTAATTTGCATTGGCTATCATGTGTTTGCTAAAATGGTTGCTTGTGGATCCTGAGTAAAACGCTTCCTCTAACCCGTCTTCTCTTTTGCATGTCCTTAAAGGATAGGAAGTTTTGGGGAGGCTAACCCTTGGCGGATGGACACGCAAGGGTGCCACACGACTTAGGTACAACTAGCTAAATCCATGACAGATAGTATCAGAGCAGGACAAGCACACTTAAAAACATTTTGCATGCAAACGTGAGGGACCTAGTGGGGCTGCATTGAGGGTAGCCAGCATATGCGATTGTTTGGGGGAAATTGGCGTTGAGGTGTAGGGAAAGAAGTTGCTTAGAGGAGCGGGCATCCAATATTGATATTGAGAAGAATAACCAACCTTTCACGTGAGAGGCACCAGAGGACAAGCGAACTAGGAAGAACGTGTAACGTACAAAAGTTGGGATTGGCTAAGTTTGAGCTATGGCTCGACGTTGGCAACCAAATTTGACGATGCTCAAGACAAATAGGGCGCTTGCTAAAGTATGAAACATTATAAGGTGGGATGAGTTGCTCAGGGATCAAAAGAGTTATGCAAAGCTTACAAAGACGAGGGGAATTACTAACTTAAAGAATTCGGTACTTATGCAAGAGCTTGTATGTAGACGATGGAATATCCGTAGCCATCTCAAGGCAATCGAAACTCGATACCGTGGAGCATTGAGACTTTCTGTTCGATATGGGAAGGATGCGACCGTAGGAGGCTGAAATGTGCAGCGAGTTCAGTATGTTACTAGGCCTTGAGGGGTACAACGAGAGTTGTATTAGCATATAGTCACAATCTAGCAAGTGCATTCGTAGGGGCAAAACAATTCACAGATTGCTCAGCAAAGTAGAGTAGTTCAAGAGGATGGTTATCTTTGAAACTTATATATAGAAAGATGCAAATAAAGAAGTTGCTCCAATAAGATAGATATCTAGGAGGGAGAAGTCATGACTCTCCAAATGGAGAATCATATGCAATAAACCACATATGTTGAGGGGTATCTCAAGATAATAACTCCACAAAGCTCAACGAACCGAGCAAGCGACGAGGATCAATCGCATGATCACACATAAGGTAATGCGATGGTGGACGCATTTCGAGATCAAGTGAGGGAGCGACCTAAGACAACACTAAATTAAGACACACTTGGAGCCGATATGAAGATTAGACTTAACGGAGGGCTAACCCATATAATGGTAGGCGTGAGGGCCACCATCAACTCAATGCAAACCGAGGGGCATAGCAACTTAGGTGGAACTTGGTGAAGTGTCTAGGTCGCATGAAGGGAGTCGGTATAGAAAACAGAATATGGAGTTGAGGCACGAAGCTTTTCTCAAGCAAAAGTTAAGGACATGAACTCTCGTAGAGGCAAGAGTGAAATAATGTTGTTCCATGGATCTCTCATTTTGATGGAGTGAACTCATCCTACATGATGCAAACGACGAAGGGAGCTTCGAGGCATATGCGTCTTATCTCAGTGAAGCATTTGACGAAGGAACTAAGGTGACTTAACTTACGGAGGCGAAGTTAGGGTCAAAATGCCTTGGCACATGGTAAGAGGACGTGAAGACGAGTAGTCTTGAAGAATATATCATAGTGCTCTCATTCGAGTTACCATGAAGGAAACAGTATGCAGCGGATATTATGTTGGTGGGGGCAGAAGCTTAGGATTTAGACAATAGTGCACCAATTTCAACAAAGTTAGTGGACTTCAAGAGCTGCTAGGCAACGAACTATGCTAGAGCTATGCTTCATTTGGGTGTGATTCGAGAGCGAGTATATAAAGGTTGATTACGAAAGGAACGAATGCAATTGGAGGTGGTAAAGGCCCTGCGATGTGTTGGCAGAGGCCACACATGGAGAGATCGCAATGTAAGTTTATTTCACAATGATCAGAATGCAATGAAGATGTCACTAGGAGGCAACATGGTGCAACGGATCATGGTGGAACAATTCAAGGCAATACAACACACATGGGACAAGTCCTACGAGGGATTAGCTTATATAGAGGTATGATCGGGAGCTACTAGGAGCTCCACTTCGGTGAACAACATAACGATAAAAAGGGTTATGGATTCAAGGAGTGAATATCATGATATCG